ATAAAAGGGCTGTAGTGAAGGTAGTTTTCATTCGTTGTGCTGACTTTATCTTTGATTTTTTTAGGATTAAACATGAAACATGAAATGACAAGAAATATTTTGTTCAGATTTAACCACACATGTAGATTTGCACACTTTCTAAGGCCACAAAAACTCATATTTTATCAATTTATGAAACGTCTCACGAGCCTTTCCTACTTGAGCGTATGGCAGACTTTCTCCAAGTGCACAGACTAAAACAAAAGAGGGCCATTGCATAGCTTAATCATTAAAAATAAGGGACTTTACTTTACAAAATATTTGTATTTTATGTATTATATTACTGTATTTGGCCCGCTGCCCTGGATAGATTTTCATTTTGGCCCCCTCGGGGAAAATGTTTGAGCACCCCTGTTTTAAAGTGTTTTCTGAGCAGACCTTCAGAAGCCTTTTCAGAGCTGCGTACGAGTGTCATTAAACCGAGTCCTAAGAGGAAAAACAAGCTCATGAGCTTTTTTATTTTCCTCCACAACATCCATCCTTCACTCTTAATGATGCTTCAATAACTCTGACAACCAATCACATTCAGTTTCACTGAAACAGATGAGAAGTGAGGCTGAGCTACACCTGAAGTTTAGTAAATTAAAAGCAAAATAAATCATTATATTTTAATTCTATTTCTTTTAATTAAAAAAAACATACAAAAGTCACAAATATAATAACATTTCAAAAGCGGTTTAGGACTTGTCACTGCTGAAATACACAGTTATGACCTTTTTATAAATAACAATAAAATACCTGCTACATGGATGAAAAATGAGCCAGGGAACAGAAATGACAAATAATGTCCGATTATCTTCAAACATTTTACATTGTAACATTGCTGCAGGAGGTGAAAATATTCTTTGATCTCAGGCGATGCACATTATAGCTGCTTTAAAAGCGTTCATGCTTTACAGTTTAAAGGGAATACATTAAAAACACAAGTTTACAAAAAGAGAAAAGAAAGTCAAAGTCTCAGGCTAAAACATGCCATTTACAAAGACAAGTTACAGAGCATGTCATTTATTCTGAATTTTCCTTCCTTTTTTTTTTTTACACAGAAAATGTTGAATAGCACCCAGAGTCTGTGTAGGAAAGCTGTAAAGRACAACATGCAGTGAAGCAACACCAGGGGGCAGTAAAGGAAAGTGTACCAGACACAATGACACAGGAGTTTCAAGGTTCTCAGATGAGAGGTATTTTTAAAAAAGCTGATTATTAACAATATGAAAACCTCCAAACATGTGAATAGGAAAACAAAACATCATCAGTGAAACTATGATGGCGAGTAAGATCACAAAAACATGTCAATAGAGGTACGTTAAGTTTCTGTGACAGAGAGAAACTGTAAAGGTGACATTTTCCTGAGAATGGCTGTTTGCTCGRCATCAGCTTAGACTGCATCAATAGTTTGGACCTTTGTGGAAGGGGTCCCTTCTCGTCATGCTGGCATAGCACAAGGAYGGGTCACATGACCCAGGTTGGCCAGGAACACCAGGGTTCCCACTTTTACCCTCTGGTCCACTTTGACCAGGGGGCCCGGATTTACCTGGAGGACCTGGTTTGCCGTAACCTTCAGGACCYATGGGACCTATGGACATAAAAAATACTAAGTTCTGATTGGTTCAAAACCCTTTTTGGCAGCATAAAACTGTATTTTTTTACATCATTGCAGCACTGCTTTAATATGRCTCTACCTAAACAAAGAAAACGACAAGTGATTGCGATTAATTAGTGACATTGTTTACCAGGAGGTCCAGGTGGGCCTTGGTCTCCACTCGTGACTCGACCAGGGCTCCCTTTCTCACCTTTGAAACCCGGTTCTCCTGAAACACAAGCCTCCATGTTGGTGGAACTAAACACAACGGTTTAACATCTATTACGATGCTGCTTTTACCTTTCAGCCCATTAATCCCAGGATGTCCTGGACGACCAGGGTGGCCTGGCTGACCACTGGGACCACTTAGTCCTGGAAGACCTCTATGTCCCTGAGGCCCAGCTGGACCTGGTGGACCAGGAGATCCAGGCTGGCTTTGACATCTGGAACAGCTCCTCTGCTGGTTGTTCAGCAACAACAAAGGCAGCTCAGCTAGAAGAGTTGACGGTGAAGAGATTTCAGAGAAAGTTGTGCAGAAACACTCCATCAGTCACTCTGAAACTCTACTCACTCTGAAGAATCTCTCTGCAGATTTGCCGAACGTGGCTGTCTGACATCACACTCGCCTGCAACGAAACGTGACGAATCAAGATGGATTTTTACTTAGCGCACCACTTCACGTCTTGATGATAAAAAGCTGTGTGTCCAACGTACAGGTCGCCTTTCAGGTCCAGGTGGACCAGGCGGGCCGGCGTCCCCCCGTAGACCTTGAGGGCCAGGTGGGCCTGACTGACCTGGTTGACCTGGTCTTCCCACTTGACCTTCGGGCCCTCTCTGCCCTGTATCCCCTGCTATCCCTTTCTGGCAAGAATACCACCCTCGTATTAGAAACAAATAATACCTTRCAGGCGGCATGAAGAAACACAAATGACTTTTTCTTCATTTTATCAYACCTCTCCTTTAAATCCCACTGGTCCAGGTGTTCCCTGAGAATTAAATCAAAATAAATCATTATTTTGATTTAAAAAAAAGCTTCAGAACATTATTAAAATCAGAATGTAAAACAAGAGGGGTCTACTGTCATTACAGGATAAGAGTAAAAATGCTGATAATGTTATACAGCAGCATTATAGCCATAAACCTATTTAAAGAGATGTTGCTGTGGCGCCATCTAGAGTCTAGCAACGCTATTGCATGTCAGAAATCAGAGAATATCAGATTTTATTATTTAAACTGAAACATAAAAACAGCCTCAGGAAAATACAGAAACGTAGCTTACCACATTCTGATTATAATRTAAAGGTAAATTGTAATGTCAACATTCTAATTAATACTTTAAAGTTTTACTCCCAATTCTAGTCACCTATGGGTGTCTTGTTTTTTTCAGGCGTAAAGCTTTAAGTTTTACTAGAAATGTTAAGTCAGCATATTTCAGGAAAATCACCTGAATTCCTGGCAGACCGTGCTCGCCTTGTTCGCCTTTCAMTCCCTGGGGAAGGAGATACAAAATTTAAAAAAAAATCCATTTTAAAAGCAAAGTTTTAGATCACAATTAGAGGTGCAATCAGATTATATAGTCAATAGATTTAGATGAAAAAAAACTTAAAAAAAATTATGTATTATTTTAATACTTCGGACTTTTAATTTTAAATTTTAAATTTATTTTGCAATTTGATCTTTTGCATCTTTAGTCATGAATGAAGCTGTCATAACAGCACCACAAACTGATGTTTCATTAATGCAGAGCATAACTGTGATCGTTGATTGTTATCATTAATCTCACCATTTCTCCTCTTTCTCCCATATTTCCTCTTTCCCCCTACAAAACATGAAAACATTGATTATGACATTTTTTAATGAGTCTTTGCCAAAAACACAAACACTCCAGTGACAAATATGGCAATAAAACAATAATAAACTTGAGTGGATATAATGTATATACCTTAGTTCCTTTCAGGCCTGGCATGCCAGGATGTCCTGGAAGACCTGGTGTCCCTGGTTCTCCTGCGTGTCCCTTTAAATAGGTTCAGTTAAACATAAATGAAGGAAAATATAATGAGTGAAAAAGTAACATTTTATGGTATCTTGGTCAGGCTCAAACAAACTGTTACAAAATGCATTTGCTCTATTTCTTGGTTTTCTTGTATATTTTTCCTGTTTTAGATCAAACAATAAGATTACAGTGGAAACTTACCCTGGACCCTGGAGTTCCTCTTACCCCTGGACTTCCAGTCTCACCTTTATTTCCCTTGAAATAATAAAAAGATACTTATTATAACAGCAAACATTTAGTGAAATAATAAACACCCTGATACTGAATGGAGCACAGTTTAACATTTCACACCTTTTTTCTGTATATTGTTTGTTTTTTTTTATCCATATGATAATTCTAAAGAGTTCTTTTTTAAATGTGTATTATATTTATGTATGGCCAAATGCTTTCCTTTCTAGTTTAACATGTCCTGCAGCTGAAACAAGTAATGTTTTTAGATTTATTATTATTTTTAAAGCAAGGCAGTGACTTGTAGTCTGGAAAGTTTCTTTTTTCTTCTTCTTCTTTTTCTTCTTTTTTTTTTACCTTGCAATGCATTTGATTAAAATTTGGTGACATGGAGCTTGTGAATGTTATGTCAAAGATGTTTTGGCAGCCCTGTACTTTTGGCAACTGCACTGCACATTGCTTGGAGTCTATTTAAATCCAAACATGGCTCTGCTTGCAGCTGGCTTGTTGCTAATGCTAACATAACAGAATTTACTGACTTTTGAAGAACTAATTCACAATAACTTCACTCAAATCCCTAAAGTAACTTACAAAATATCCGCTGTAGGTTTTATCCCTTGTTTTAAAGTTTGACATTTTGTTAAATGAAGGTCAGTCTTTCTTTCATTTTTGTATTTTTTTTTAGTGTTTTTAAAGTTTAGCTGCACTATTATTTTCAAAAAGCTTCAAAATTTGCTTTCAGTGAATGATTACCCTTGGTCCAGTTGATCCTTTTAAACCAGGTTCACCAGGTAAACCCATTTCACCCTGCAGAAAAGCAAAAATTATTGATACGCTTCAATAACTCAGCTTTAGTTTGAACATTTCTGTGCAGTGCAGATCTTACAGGGAGTCCAGCCGATCCTTTGAATCCCCTTGGTCCCGGCTCACCAGTTTCCCCCTTCAATGAGAAAGTATCAAACTCACAGTGACTAATACTAAACATTTATTAAGTTCAATTAAGACACAGAGAACCTTACCTTTGGTCCGTCCAGGCCGGCATTTCCCGGCAAACCAGGCAACCCCTGTGAGGAATTAAGTGTCAAAATTAGATTTAACAGTGATAACAAAAAAAAAAAAAACTAAAAAAGAAAATAGTATCTACTGCTATGTGCAGAAATACAGTAAATATGTGTTTGAATAAAATGTCTTTGTGAATCATATGACGTGTACAAATGTTTTAAAATTTGGAGATTTTATTTTCCTTCATTGTGTTTTACATCTTTGTGAATGCAATGTATGAAGCAGTTCTACGTGGCATTCAGGAGATGTTGCACTGATTAAGGTTTAGAATTCAAATTTGGTGAAACCCTTGTATAACCTGGTGGGCATTCAAACAAAACAGACACAATAAAAAATAGGTTTTGTGTTATGTATTTAAATGTATGTTTGTATAGTAAGTGTTTAAATATTGTTTGCCTCAATGGTCTTTATTTTTGAATCTGTCTTTGTAAAAGCACATGTACTTCAGGCAGTCGTCTTGACTTCTGATTGGTCGGCAGAGGTGCAACGTAATGAAGTACATTTATTTTGTTACTTGTACTTACCGTATTTATTCATGTATAATACAATCTCGAGTACAATACGATCATCATTTTTGAGCTTAAAAAGCATAAAAAATCTAATCACCAATAACCCGTKTATAATACTACTCCCCTACTTTTTGAATGATTTTTAGGGTGAAATTTCTAGTATTATACATGAATAAATACTGTCACTTTTTTGAGGATCTGTAATTTTACCATTTATTTTTAAATCTTTACTTTTACTTTTATTTTGTTACATTCAAAATCTAAAAATATTTTCACTTCTTTATTCTAAAATGTAACACCTTGTTACATGCTACAAATTTAAATATGACAGGAGCTCGTCATGAAAGGTGTCGTTTATGCAGTCTAAAAAATGAAGTGCTGAATTTACTTAACTAAGTTATGTAGACTGGTTCCACTAAACCAAGCTGAGTAAAAGTAAGACCATTTTCGCGAGTTAATTGCTTTTCTTCTACTCTACTCTGTTTCCTCAGGGTTTTTATTGAAAACAAAAAATATTCACTTTATTTATACATCTATTTTTTTTTATTTGGTGTGGTCCACAAGTTATTTATACCACTACATTTGGTGCAAGACAGTGTTTAGTAAGCTGATCAGACTGAGTTACTTCTCAGGACTAGAGTAGCCTATGTTTTTTCTTTTTTAGAAATTCTACCTTCATTATTTTCAGCCAAGTGAAATAATAAACAAGGGACCAACAACTGAACATTTTTAAGCTTTTTTTATTTTTTGTTAGATTTAATTAGTACTTTTACTTTATCATGATCAGTTTTAAGACTTTTACTTAAAGTACTTTTCTTATCAGTGAAATTTGTTTTAATTGTCTGTTAAGGTATTTAGTTGTTTTTTTTCCAAGTACTTTATACACCTTTGTTGGTCAGTTCTGTCACATGAAGTGTTGCAAATAAAGCTACTGAAGTGTGGAAAATATGCTCAAGTTAATCATCTCCATCCAGTTGACTAATCACACCCACCACATACCAAACCCTCATGTTACATACAGAACGCAGTGGATTCAACAAAACCAAAAGTCAATTCAATTTGYATCAAAGCTACTGAGAAAAGTCATTTTACTTTTCTTCTTTAATTACTTTTTGTGAGATAAGAAGTTGCAGATGTTTAGCTGATGCCTTAACTTTCAGAGCTTGGACAAAGTCTGCATTAGACAGCCTTTAGTTTCACAATCAGTTCATGCCTGTGGGAAAACATTTTCCCAGGGGGTCCACATTAAGGGGCTGCATTTTGTTTTCTGTTGAATAAGTTTAGCTCTATTTCTGTCTTCTTGGACATGCTGACATCTGTCGTTCTGGTTAAACAGAAATGGCCGACAGCCTTCTGGAGAAATTGAGTCAKCTTTGTGTAGACCCATCGCAAACCTTTGACAACACTTAACGATCGCGGACAGTGGGACGGCTGCCCAGCTGAAACAATTTTTTCCGAAAACAGATTTACCAGAACGCTACAGTATTCCCTCGGTTAACTACTTTCTGCGCGTTACATAACTGGGTTATCCTGGGATGAACTTCTGGGGAAATACCACTAATTTACTGGCTGTCAGGGGCAGAGTTTATAGAGCTGACAGTTAACGCGCTACAGCCTCAATACAACATAAAACAGGCAGCTCTTTATGATCCATAAAATTCACAGCTATATTTGTCCTTTTTAAATATTTTGTTACAGAGAATATTACGTTATGTTAGACAAAAACAATATGACAAAGATAGTGTCATGAAATTTGAAGTGAAGCTGTAAGGCAAAATCAACTCAAGCAAAATGAAAAATAAAAGTCTAATTTGTGTTCTAGTTAACTCACAGGATGGCCTTCTCTTCCATCACCACCAGGAATACCGCTGGCTCCAGGATCCCCCTAAATTCAATGGAAAACCATGGAGATATTTCACTTAAACTTCAGTTTCAAGTCATGCAGCTTTAAAGTCCCGGCCATGCATTGCATCAAAGCGACTAAATGCCATACTGGATTCAATAAACACATTTTCTTTTTTTTATAATGTGAAGGAAAATTTTTAGATCCATGCAAGTATAGAGATGTGGATTGGAAAAGACAGCGCAGTATGTTGGTGATTTAATTCCAGCTGCTGCCAGACAACAGCAGCACTTCTTTCTGGAACAGTTAATTCTTTTAAAATTGCCCAATTTCATGCCTCTATTATTTCCCAAAGGGTCTTCATGTCTGTAACAAGCAGACCTTTTGACCATCCCTCCCTGGAAGTCCATCCTTTCCATCTCTCCCAGTCGCACCCTGAAACCACAAAGAATTATTCTTTGCGCAACAATAAATTCACAAGAGATACTAACTGATATTAAATATTTGCAAACGTACAGGTCCTCCTCGTAAACCAGGAGGCCCGGGGGGTCCCATACTTCCTTTTTCTCCCTAAAAGTTCACACCATCCAGTTAAAGTTGAGTTAAAATGTGTCTTGTTAGCAGCTGATTATCTGTGTGCTTACCAGTTGACCAGTTGTTCCTGGTAACCCTGCTGTTCCTGGCAATCCTTTCAACCCCTGAAAAGAAATATTTACATAAATATGCATTTCTTGTATATATGTTATAAATGCTGCTGCCTATCTGAAACAGCCTTGAAATATGTTTTTAATCGGAATGGGATGTCCTGGTTATTTACATCAAACGTGTGTGTGTGTGTGTGCGTGTGTGTGTGTGTGTGTGTGTGTG